CGGAGCATGGCAGAATCAATGTTAATAGTTCGGACTACAATAGCATAAATCTAAGAACCGACACAAATATTTTACATGACACTTATATAAACATCATTAATAATTTATAAATTTTTTCATTTATCTTATTCTTTTCAATAAATTAATTTGTTTTTTTCATTTTTTTCTATTTTGTATGCGATAGCACTCCTTCTGTTTACATTATAATGATACCCTCTCTGTCTCCATCTATATAAGTACTTCAAATTTGTTTAGAATATTTCTGTAAGTGTTATATGTTTCTTTAGTACGGTGTCAAGCATTGCAAGGAATAGTTGGTGTTTTTTGTATACCAAAAATTAAATGAAATTTAAATAAATTATTAAAGAATGTGTAGTATATAAGTAACTGTTTTTGAAATTACACTGAAGATGAGACACACCATGGTCTCGAAACGTCTGTAATCATAAAATAAAGTTGTGTTAAACAAATCTGAGTGCTGTTTTGTTCATATTAAACAATTAATATATATATATATATATATATATATATATATATATATAATGAGTTTTACTCATTCATTTGTTCGCTAAATTACATCTAAAAAACAATTTTAAAATTTTTGAAAATTTTTCCATGCTATTTCCAACATTAATATTAAGAGCTTCAGAGAATTGTTTTTTATCAATTTGGAGCCATTTGAGCCCCTGGAAGCAAGGAAATTCGAAAATTTATATATATTATATATATATATATATATATTAAATTTTTTTATTATAATTTTGATGTTGAAATATGTGATATTCAGTTTTCAGGGCAATACATCAATTAAAAAATTTGTATGACTTTAAAACATTTTTATTTTTTCCATACGTTTCGACACATTGTTTTGTGTCATCTTCAGTGGACAGATAGAAATTATTAAATAAAACTAAAATATAAGAAGAAGTGATATGGTATGAACTTACATGTAATTGAATTAATCCTAATTATTTCATATTATAAATGTTCACAATGCACAATCCTAATTATTTCATATTATAAATGTTCACAATGCAACAAAAAACCAAACTTTGTCATTTTAAATTGAACAATTCAATTTAAAATGACAAAGTTTGGTTTCTTGTTGCATTGTGAACATTTATAATATGAAATAATTAGGATTGTGCATTGTGAACATTTATAATATGAAATAATTAGGATTAATTCAATTACATGTAAGTTCATACCATATCACTTCTTATATTTTAGTTTTATTTAATAATTTTTATCTGTTCCTTTAATCTAGAGTCCACTGAAGATGACACAAAACAATGTGTCGAAACGTATGGAAAAAATAAAAATGTTTTAAAGTCATACAAATTTTTTAATTCATGTATTGCCCTGAAAACTGAATATCATATATATATATATATATATATATATATATATATATATATACGAGGTCTGTTCAAAAAGTACCCGGAATTTTCGTTTTTTCAAAAAAATATTTATTTATTCGTCTACATTAATGTGGTCCCCTTCAAAGTAGTCCCCCCAGATATAATACACTTATGCCAGCGTTTTTTCCAATTTTCGAAGCACCCTTGATATTCACTTTTTTAAATGTCCTTGAGCACTCTCAGCGATTTTCTTCAATCGAGGAAAACCGCCGTCCTTTCATGGGTCTCTTCAACTTTGGGAATAGGAAAAAGTCACACGGAGCCATATCTGGTGAATTTTTGCACTTTGCAACACTTTATTTCATTTTTTACGCAAAATTTAATACAAATTCTTTGACTTTTCAATTCTTCCATTGTAAAAATCGCCGAGCTCAGAAAAACACGTCGAACCTTAGCGACTACCACAGACAAAGTAAACAGTGAATATAGCTGAAAATTTCATCATACTTTAGGGGCATGTATACCAACACAATAAAAAAAAAAATTTGACAATCCGACACTTCAGACCCGCGAAATTTAATTATTAGTAATTCCGGGTACTTTTTGAACACACCTCGTATATATATATATATATATATATATATAATATATATATATATATATATATAGATTTAAACGTGTAATAAAGTTTGGAATCTCTTTTATTCCATTTCAAATGTACTTACAATCTTTTTCCAGTGGTATCTGGAAGACATTTGTCTGAATATCGCCCGCTTCCATTTTTGTAACTGCCATTATAATATCGCTTAATTCTAGCAATTTTATTCTGTCGATCTCAGCTCTCGTAAATAATCTGTTCAATGATAAAATACAATAAAAAGTGCAAATCAATTACAATACTTTTTCAATATAGTCCATTGACTAAACATGTAATTGGAACTAAATAATGAAACTTATTTAAATCGATAGAAAGAGGAGAAAGATTGGACTCGGATGAAATTAACATAGAGTCGGTCAAGTAAAAGCGTGGTCGTGGTAATTATTAAAGAAAAATATTTTATGAAATTTTTGTTCATGTACATATATTTATATACATGTATTACAAACAATGATGCAATTCGGTCAATTATGTGTTCTGTCACCAGGCGTCGAAAATTGCCTGGCATCTCCGAGGCATGCCTTCTACTAATTTGACAGCGTGTTCTAGTGGAAAGGATCTTTAGATCCGAGCAATTTTGTAAGACAACTACTCCAAAGTGTATGTGCGTCTTCCATGAAGCTTCTTTTAAATATATGCCTACAAATTTTCAGTAAGGTTTGCATCGGGTGACTGGATCGGCCAATCCAATGTAACAATGCCATATTGAGTTTTCCACAGAGCTTGGTTTGGTGTTTAGGATCATTGTTCTCCTGCAGAAACCAATCCTCAATTTTTGTTATGAACCATCGTTTGGCAGATGGCAGTAAAGCGTTTCTGTAGATTTTTATCATTTTCTCGTCATCTAGGTTGTCAGAAAAGAGGTACAAAATGCCAAATCCCTGATTTGAGAAGCAGGCGCAAAGATGCACCTTTTTTATTCCAAGTTTTTCACCTTTTTTCTGGTGGAAGTTGATCAGGTTCGAGTGAGGACATAACTTACCCATAGAGAACAGAGTTTTCTTCATTGTGTTGCGTCATTACAGATCATGAGTCCGAAGAAGGGCTCTGATAGTTTTGTAGGATACATCTAAACCTTTTGCCATAAATTTTGCTTGTCCTTGCCGCAAATTATTGACATTTTCAAACACTTTATATCGCTCTATCTACTTCTGTATACATGCTTTCGACTTTCTCATATATTTAGCAGCCGCTGAATGCGACATTTTGGGACCTTTCCAGTAGATGCAAAGGAGCGCAGTTCCGTAGCGCGACGCGTATTTAGCACCCATCCCGTTTAACGTGATTTTCTTTCAAAAGATCAACGACAACCTAATTTTTTATTGATAATGGATCAAGGAGAAAGCTTTCCTTTATCGGCTCGCGAAGCAATTAGAACAAAATCTTTTATTATCTGTGGGACGCTCTTACTTGACTGACTATTTCATAACGGAGTGAATTACATTTATTATGTATCAAGAAATGTGTCTGCAGAAACGATTTGCAAATATTTCTCGATAAATCTCCTTCGATGTTTTCATGCTTTGGCATAAGTTTACTATGTGAACTCGCGAGTTTTTAGAGCTATGATATAAGAGGAATCTTCTCGGCGCCCATTTCAGGAACAAATTGATAGTATTATAATTTGAAGTAACAAAATTTAAATCTGAAATGTTGATTATTAATGAAACGACTATAAGTTGTTTCAAATTCATCATTTCCGTGCTATTTAAATATATTCTATACCCATTTCCCATATTTTCGAACCAGAAACGATCGCCATCTCTGATTCTTCTGAATTGATCTTGAATGACTTCGGTGAAAAATTCCCCAGGACCTTCTGCAGTCTCAAGGATACCGCCAACCCAAATGTCCAATTTTTCTAGATTACCACTGTAAAGGTTGCTTAATTTTTGGCGCTGAAATTTAAAACAAAAATAGAGTTAGAAATCTTGCTACGTTATAATAACTAATCGCATTTCCATAAATTATCAATTATTGCTCGCTGTTGTGAATGTTTCATATTCACAGTTTGGGTTATAATTCAGAAAATGATAATTAAGAAAAATTATCGTATATCTCGACATAGCGTTGTCGAAACCATTCTGTTCCACTCAAGTATCATTTCTGGTTATTGGATACTTACAATACTAGCATTAACGTTGACAAAATGGTTAACATTCACAACAGGAGCCAAATTATAAGCTTTTCTGGCTGTGTTAAAATCGGGCAAGCCATGGTCCCGACCGCGCTGAATATTCAATGCCATCAGATCCCTTCTTGAAAACTCTAATGGCCCAAAAACACGACCTGAAAAAGATAATTAAAAAAAAATTAATTTTATTATAAAATTATTATGTCCAAAAATTCATAAAAAAATAAATATGAAGAATATTTAATATTGCAAATATTAACTGCAGTAAAGAATCATGGTAAAATTTTGTGGTGTAGTATATATTTTGTGAATCTGGCACAAAAACTTTGTTACCTCTTAGATCTTCAACAATTATATTGTCTTCACGTTCACAAGCTTGAAAAGCCATGCCCATGAGCAATCTGTCAATGTCAACAAATTCACTGGTCGTATAATTGGTCTTGATTGCGTCTTGTGGTCTCCAGAAACTGTTACAAGTTCTTACAGCTGTTCTGTTCCAATTCGGTATGTGTATACCACATCCATTCCTTCCATAATCTCGAAGATACACTCCTAAATTAAATGAAAAAAAATGTATCAAAATTTGTTCTATTACGATAAAAACTAAAATTGTTTTCAAAACAACTTAATTTTATCAATCAAATTGAAATAGTCTTATTATATAAGATGGTATCAGAAACAAGCATAATAAAGAGTAGAAAACAGTCAAACATAAATAATAAATTAGAACTATCATAATACAATTTTGGTATTTGATTATAAATTTTTTGGATACTTTTATTTAATGTCAGTTGAAGAACTAGTATTGATTTTCAATGATGTTATTATTATTTTTTACCTGATGGCACTAAGGTGTGGCCAAATCTAAAAGCAGCAGCTTGGAAAAATTGGTCTATCTGTGGATCAATACTTGGATCGTATTCTGTGAAAAAAATCAAATATAATTCTAGTTATAAATGCTTGATCGATAATGATAAATATAATACTCTTTAAGAATCTTCAAAATGCCACCAATTTCAAAAAAAAATCAACTTCAATAGTCAACTCCGGATCGTTTTTTTCCTAATATGTTTCCAGATAGATTGTGAAAAGTTTGATAGTTTTTCTGGATTAAATAATTTCGAACGTTACAAGCACTTTATACTTTTTTATTTAATTTGAGATTTTTATTGATCTTTAATATATTCAAAATTGATTTGTTTTTATATATTGAAATTCATTACTGCAGGAAAGTTTATTTATTTTTTATAAAAAGTGTGTTTTTCTTACTTTCATAAACCGGCAGTTCTTTGCTGAGCCATTCAGGAAGCCACTTATAAACAACTATATGCTGTTGTGTTGCTATTGTCCATTTTCGTGCTTCATTGAATATCTAAAACAAAATAAAAGTTTATTTATTATTAAATAGCATAGAAAAATAATAGTATTGTTAGCAGATCGATTAATTTTAAGTAAATATTATCAGATTTTGTGATTTATGTTGAGTTTTTTTAGTCAGTTTTATAAAGTAGTGATCGTTCTGTATTTTATTGACGTGATGTAAAAAATAAGTAAGCATGTAGAACTTATTACAAGTGATGATTCTATTTAGAATTGTTGCAATTATATTACAAATGAGCGCTTTAAAATATATTTTACCTTTTCTCCTGACCAATCTGGCTTGCTTTTGGCAAAAGCTTTTGCTAAATGATTGTGCCATCTGAACCACAGAATTCCAAAAGTCAGAAGAAACGTATTTTCATTACCACGTGGATTTCCCAATTCTGAAAGTATAAATGTTTTAATAAGATCTTAATTTTACTAATCAAGCATACAGTTTTTGCATACCATCTATTTTCATAACTCCTACTAATAATAAAGATGCACTTATATACTATTTATTAGAAGAGAGATCAACGAAATTTCCTAGATTTGAATACAAAAAAGATGAATTAAACTGAACCTTTATTAAACTGAAATTATTCATGCAATTTAGTTATCTATATTACTAAAGCGAATATTGCGTATTATACCATATTATGCAAGTATGATCAAAATATTATTTACTGAAAAATCTGTTGACTGGTAATAGTTCGTGCTTCTTAACAAATTCTTCGTGCAATGTAGGAGGTGGTGGATTTGCCATAGGCAACCTGACAGTGTTGTACTCAGGAAATAATCCATTGTGAGAAGTCGCCAGTAGGCCATTAGGATCCATGGTACCATTAGAATATGTACGAAGCTGATCTGCCCAGGCCCTTGATGTACCATACATCAGGCCGCCATCTAAGTAAGGTGTTATCTCGTTCAACTGAAAGTGGAAACGAAAAACAATAACTACAGTTATATTTTTGCAGTCAAAAAGCCTAATATTAAATAGTAATTGGTCTTTTATGTAATTCTTCTGTTTTTCGAGATAAGCGTATTTGATAAATATGCCTATATGAAATATTTTAAACACTTTAAAATTATAGAATAATACGTCACTCAATAATTCCGTAGGATGACACATAGTGTTACTATGTAATAATCCATATGATTTGTAGGAAGCATCAACATTAAGAAGATATATGTCAAATTTTTATGACAATCTGACGATTAGTTTACAAGTTACAAAGGTTCAAGTGACGCTACTTTTGAGTTTTTCAAAATCATGTATTCAAATGGGTAAAAATATTATAATAGCTAAAGTATCAATTGACAGGTGTTATCTGAACTGCATCAAATTGAAGCAAACGGTGGAGACGTGGTTTGCTGATTTTAAATGTGGCCGTACAGATACTGATGATGCTGAACAATCTGGAAGGCCAATTTTGATGGTTACACCGGAAAACATAAAAAATTCCAAATAATTATTTTGCAAAACCGAAAAGTGAAATTGCCTGAGATACCTGATACCTTAAAGATGTCAATGAAGCATTTTGGACATATCGTTCATGAATATTTGAATAGGTATAAGCTCAGCGCTAAATGGGTGCTGCGTAAACTCACATTTGATCAAAACCATAACAATAAAATAAAATTGAGTTTTAGCTTCAATATGTTGCCATGAATGCGACCCGGCTCCACCACTACACGATGGAGTAGAATAGACAGTCAGCCGAGTGGACTAGATACGAAGATGCTAGATGAGAAGAAAAAAATGCAGACAATCAGCTGGCAAGATCATGGCATCAGTTTTTTAGAATTCGCAAAGAATGATCTTGTTCAACTATTTTAAGAAAGGCCAGACCTCCAACAGTGACTATACTATAGAGCTTTTGAAGATCGAAATCGGAAATATGACCTATTTAAAAAATAATGAAAGTGATGCTTGATCAGGACAGCGCACCTAATCACAAATCCGTGAAAACAGTGGCAAAAACCATGAATTGGAGTACAAATTGCTTCCCCTCTTACTATATTTCTTAGACCTATTTCCCAGCGACCATGTCGAGTTCACAGATCTCAAAAGATTGTGCGCTGTAAATAAATTTTTGCCGATTAAAGAGTTGATCGCCGAATTTTGTAGCAAAGTAAAAATCGTATTACAAAAATGGTATCGAAAAGTTCGAAATTTAGTATATCGTCTTCGAAGAAGACTAAGTTGAATAAATATTTCTTAGGTTAGGTTTTTCTTAGTTATCCTACGGACTTATTGACTGATGTGTTATAATAAGGCAATTGTTTTAACAACATTTGGACAATGTACATTATTGGCGCTTTCACACCTTTCACCTCCGTGACACATTCTCTGATTAAGGCAATAATTATTATTCCAAGATTCTTTTAAATAACAATTTGCCCGATTGCTAAAGGTTTGTTTGATTTGATACCTGTTGCCGAGGATTATTTGGTGAAAATCCAGTAGAAGCGTCGAATCTGGTTCTAAGGACAGGCATTTCAGTATGATTAGTTTTCACCCTATATTCATGGTCTTCTGGTATTGGAACGTTGAAATATTCAGGAGGGCAGGCTGCACGTTGGGCATCTAGAATTTCTTCGACCACTTGTTGGCCTGGAAACAAAACATTACATCACTTTCATATATTAACTGCCCTCAAAAGGTTCATTTAATTATCATTAATTTTCTTGCTCTGTCGAATTTAAGTTTTCAAATGTAATCTTTTTATGTGAAACTACATTACCAAAAAACACTAGTAGAGCACTTTTGCCAGTTTTTGACATTTGTCCAGGTGGTCCTGATAATAATTGTCGGCTCAACTCCAGCGGATTAGGTCTGTCGCTTCCTGAGGGTTTGTAGACACCATCCTCGTATGCGGCCGGTACTCTACGTAATAATGGTGTATCTGTAATAAAATAATATTATATATATTATATATATATATATATATATATATTTATATATAAATAGCTTTATTTCTTTTCAGTCCGAATGTTAGTTTGAAAGCTTTGAATGTTTTATGCATCCATCCCTAAAATCAAGTAAAAATGAATCTAATTTTTCAAATCTCCTCTCATACGGAAATCAAAGTTCAGTAACAAAAAATAAATACATTATAAATAAGATTTATCAAGTCAAGATTATTTGTACTCATTCAAGAAAAATCTATATCAGGTATTATATTTATAGGTATTCGCAAAGTAAGTACGACTACATAGGTACTCGATGAAAAGTCCTATTCACTTATTTTATTTTTTTTGGCTCACACATAAATGACCCTATACTTCGAGAAAACTCAAAACAAGTAAATTACATTTTCTGGTAAAAAAAGAGTGTGCGTAAGGTTCACACGCGATTGAAGTAAAACTTATTTGCTACTGTACAAGATGGCATTTAAGTAAAAGTAAATACATCATATAACAATTTTGAATAATGTTTATTAGTAATGTGGTAACACTCACGATGCACACATTTGTTAGTGTCAACCATTATACACATTTATATAATGATAAATTATAAATTATATATTTATAATAGCATTAAAAATATGTATAATATTTAAAAACAATAATGTAATTAAATTCATACTACAAATATGACATGATCATTTGATCATCATTATCGGTTTGTCATTGTAATTAGCATTTAGAAATGAACCTTCATTAGAGAAATGAAGTAACTGCTGATTAATAAATTCTATAATATTCGTTCGCAAAGTGGATTATGTAAAACAACGCCTAAACAAATATTGTTTTCGCAACTTCACTCACAATGTACTTGTGTTTAAAGAACTTCATGTAATTAAAATTATCATATACATTCATTGACTGCTTGTATATTTTTTACTTTCAACAGCTGCAATATCTGTCTTGCCTAGAAAATAGTTTTGATTTCACAGATTTATAGAAACAAGGAATAATATAGAAATTATTTCTATAAACTTCTGTTTCGTACACGGCGCAAATTTGTTTTATTATTTTCATTATAATTATTTACGGTGGACAGGATAAAATATTCTTCTGATTCAGGAATTTTTCATTAAATCAAGATTTGAGCTACGATGTAACTTTAAAATGTTTTTTTTTTTATTTATGCCGATTTCCTTGTTGATATACGCGTATAACGTCGATGCCGGTACGCATACAACGTTGATACCGGTACGCATACAACGACATATATTCACATACACGACGTCTAATGACAATTGACCCGTATAGAAATGGTCTCATCGAGAGCGAATGACGGACAGTTTGGGCGTAACGGACTTCCGTTGCATTTGTACGGATTTACACCCTAGTCGCGCCTAAAGATGTTTTACTTCAACAAACTTTACTCTCGGAAAGTTTAAAATAATCTACACAGTGATAAAAATAGTTGTAAATTAGTTTGTTTCCAAATGGCCGATCTAATTTTCTTACTCAATTTTTGCAGTTATTCCTGTACAATTGACTAATTGTAAGATCTAGTTGGTGCCGATCATGTAGTGGACTGTAAATGATTTATTCCGTCACCATAAGAAGTGAATGTAACTACTATTTTACTCTCATTCTATTTGCTAAACTCTATACTCATAATAATCTGCAGTACTATTTACATGAAAAAACAATTATTATCCGCTCTCACGAGAGTTTGCGGGTTGATTACAAATGTAGGCTGCTCAATTCTTGACCAGCTTGTATTACCTATAGCTCCTAGATCTGGTTTTGATGGATTGTTGTACCAGCCATCGTAGCCCTCGTATTCGGGAGCAGGTCGTTCTGGCTTGGCGCACGACGAGTCGCTGCAACCCCATAGTAACCAATCGGCTATCGAATCTCGACGAGCTGCTATACCGGTTAAACTTGGCTTAGATTGGCAATCTAGAAGAGAAATTCAAAAATCATTGATTTAACAGTACTCAATAATATTGAATAAAACCAGTAGTGCATGGCATTACTGGTTTTAAGGCCTTACGAAAATTGCTTGCATTTACCATAATTAACTTCCCGTAGGGTAAGTTATAGTAATGGCAAAAAAATCGAAAATGAAAATTTTTATATATATTTACGTTTCAAAGGTTTCTGAATATTTTGGCATATCTTAGAAAAAATTGATTTATGTGTGTGTGTGTGTATGTGCGGATACAAATTTTCGTCGACGGTTTTGGGAACACGGATCAACCGATTTCAATTATTCAAAAAACAATCAATTGCTCTTGATAAGGAGACGTGCTGATTAGTTTTTGGCGTAAGCAGCTCTAGCCGTTTCGAAGATCTAGTGAACTAGTTGGTTTGGTATTTAGCCTTGAGGCAAGTTACATGAACTTCCCGATATGTGTAAATATTCGACTTAATCAATAAAATATAAATTAATTTATGAATGATTAAAAGTATTCCAAGTGGATTTATTACACATAATTGAAAACGAACGAACACGTTAACTCGGTATATTTTCTAAGAGCAAATTTTCGAAAATCAACAATTTTTATAATTGAACCAGTTTCCGTAGGACTTTAATGATTTAGTATGTTCATTAAGACCAAGTACTCTATCATTATACCAAGTAAATAGTCTAATTTTAATTTTAACAAACGCCAAAAAACTACTATTTTCTCAAACTTTGATGAATTTTTAAAATTAAACTACATGTCGTAAGGCCGTAATATTTTAGTAAGTTCTATAAGACCATGATGTTTATCGCCAAAAAAAGTTTCATAAAAATCGGCTTAATTTTTTTTTCAACAGTTAATTATAAGAAAACGGCTCGGTAGATTTTCATCTAAAACTAATCAGTATCTTTCCCAACTAATATCTTTCGAACAGTTTTTGATTTTTTAAAATCGGTTTGGTAGGATGAGCTTAGATGTGGACGAAAAGTTTAACACTATTTTTCAAATTACAAAGAAACGGCTTGGTAGATCGTCGCACACATCTGACAAACGATAGTTCTCATCGAAATACATCAAATGGCTTTTAAATTTCTGAAATCGGTTCAGGCGTTTTTGAGAAAACGTCGATGAAAGGTCTAATTTTGACAAATTCCAAAAAAACGATACCAGTTTTTGCAAACTTTGACGAATTTTCAAAGTTAAACCAATTGTCGTAGGGCCGTAATATTTTAGTATGACCTAGAAGACTAGTATCTACCGTCAAAAAAATAATAATAAAAATCGCCGAAAAAAATTTTTTCAACACTTTATTACAAGAAAACGGCCCGGCCGATCTTTACCAAAAACTAATCAGCACGATTCCCAATCAATACTTTTTGAACGGTTTTTGAATTTACATAATCGGTTCAGAATTGCGGGCTAAAACGTGCACGAAAAATTTTTCACTTTTCTGCTATTTATAAAGAAACGTTTCGGCCGATCGTTCCACAAAACTGACAAACGATAGTCCTCGTCGAGATACGTCGAATGGCTTTTAAATTTTTGAAATCGGCCCAGCCGTTTTCGAGAAAACGTCAATTTACGGCAAAAAATCTGTTCACACACACACATACTTTTTCCAAATTTGGTCTCATTCGATTCAGAATGGCTTGAAACGTCGAGAAAACATAAAATTAGCGAATCGGATTTTTCGATGAAAACATAAACTTCTCCTTCGGGAAGTTATTAAAGTAAAAAAAAATGCCATTTGGCGTTCAAAAATGATCAATAGACATATACACATAAAATTATCAGATATTTTATAGAGGTTTTAACAATTATAAATTACGTTTAACAAGTATAAATTTTGTTTACATTCCTATGGGTTCCGTACCAACGCTTCCATATTTCGTCTCTATGCAGTTAAGGCAGTACGATTGCTTTCAAAAACAATATCAGAATATCCAAAATATTCCAAAATAAAGAAAAAATTTACAGTTTCTCAAAAATCTAATTTTTTCGAACAATTTTTTTTTTAAAAAATGTTAATCTTTAAAAAAAAATGGTACATGTAGTTCCAGCAATTTGCCTTAAGGCACGATGTATTGCGCTCCACTAGTTTAAAATTTTTGAAAGCTTTACAATTTTTTTTTTTTTGAAAAAGATCTTTTCGGAGATATTAAGCAAAAAGTGCAGAAAATAAACACTGAGTTTTGGGAGAACTGAGCATCCGATTTGAATGATCCAAAAAACATTAAATTTGTAATGAATGGGAGAAGTGGTGATTACTTTTTGGCAAAGGCAGATCCAGCTGTTTCTGAGATTTGGAGCTAAATGTAAATTTTTGCTTATGTTAACAAAAAAATTGCTTTTGCACGAAGAAAAAAAATATTTCAAAATTTAATTCATATTTTTTAAATTCCAAAAAAATGATTCGGATTTTAATTTTAATTATATCTAAAGTTCTGAAGAACACTTATGTACTTAATATTAATAATTTTAACTTTGCTATTCAATTTGTATAATTCTTATAACTATTAGACAATGCCTTTCATTTTAAATCCGATTGATTAAGTTTTGGTCATTTACTTTTCTGTAAACATATATAAACGTCGTGGTCTCATTCATACGCTCTCATATTTTGTTTTTATAATAAGAACAATGAAAGTTACAGTATTTATAATAATGTATTTGAAAACATTTAATATTCCTCATAAATTTCTTTACGGTACGTTTGTCTCAAGGCAAAATGCTACTTACAACTAGTTTATTTAATTTTATTTATCACAATATGTCTTTGATGAGTAATGATCGCGATTTTCTGCGGTTTTCTAAAATTAATTTTAATAATAATCAAGAATAATTGGTATCATCATGTTTACTATTTGCAGTCTTCTGTGCTTTTTGCAATTAAAGTGATAGCTGGCTTAACGGGAATTTTATTTATCGCAATATTCACAATGCTCCTCTTAGGAATGATTCACAATATACGAGTATTTATGATATGTTCCTTGTATAAAAATAATCACGCAGAATTAAATCTATAAATTTAATGAAATACATAGCTTTTAAACGAATATTCAGTAAATATTATGTGTAAATGCGTATAAATGTTATGTGCAAATGTATCTTCTTTTCATGCCCCAAAGTAGTAAGGGTTGGCCGCCTCATTTCATACCTCTTTCAATCAATACATGTTCTTTACTGAATTTCGATTAGGATGATCTTGAAGTTATGGAAGAGCTTAAATTTATTTATATTAATTTAATTTAATTAAATTAAAGAACAAGTTATTTTTAACTAAGGCTATCCATACCTAATACTTTTTTCTTAATTTTTTATACAATTTAGAAATTTAGCGCTCTGGGGCTCTGACGAAAATGTAGCCCCATCCCGCCGAAATTTTACTTAATTAGTTTTATGTCTCATTTTTTTTAAATTATAATAACTATATGATTTCAGAAAATTTATTACGCATTACATACTATAATTTAACAACATATTCATATTGTTCCAACAAAAAAAATATAAACTGCACTAAGTTAAAATTTTGCACTAAGGACTTTCTTTCCGTAGGGTATGCTATAGCAATCACAATAAAATGAAATTTTTGTAGATCTTTACGTTTTGAAGGTTTCTGAACATTTTTTTCTTCACAATTTGCCACCCTGAACACTAGCCCCGACTTGCCCATACTGTAAATCCAGCTCTGTATGTACCATAAAATGTGCCATAGATGGCAGGGTGTAAATTTTTCCGCAGAGTTTTTGGAATCCCCACATTTTTCATTTTATTGAATGGATTATTATCTCATAGAGCTTTCAAGTTTGTACTTGTAAGTGGTTATTTATTATATAATAATTTAAAAGTACACGTTTCGGTGATTCTTGCGATTTGACGTATTTTTGCTTTGCCGTGAATAGTTTTTTAAAAAAATTGAATTAAAAAAATGTTTTCTTTTTTAAATTTTTATGTAGTTTTGTCTTTATATTATGATTTTTATCATATTACTATATTAATTAAAAACAAAAAAGCTGCTTTTTTACATAACTTCGAAAAAAAAACTAGTGATTAAGAGAAAGAGATGGGAAAAAGAATGTAACATCACGGAAGAATAGAAAACCATTATCAGGTTGCCAAATGCGATGTAACACATTCATAATTTTATTTATTTTTTGATTAATATAAGTTTGAAAAAAACATTTTGCTCGATAGTATTGATATAATCCACATTGCCAGTTTTAACTCCTTGAGAAAGAACTGAAAAATGCTTCCGTTTAATATTAAAAATAAATCCAAAAAATAAAAAAAATACATAAAATGGATGACAAATAATTAAAAGAATTTATTGACAACAAAATATTTTTTGTCTGCAACAGCAGTTGAACACTCTGGTGCTAAGTCATTGATAACATTATAAATAACATAAAACTTACCGGCTTTTCGAATTTCTGTTAAAATCAGGAAGATTGATATGGCCAGACATGATATCGCCTGAAATATAAAAATAAACATTTATTGAATAATATCAATTCCACGTAATCTTTTAATCTGTTATCAATTTCTTGTAAGAAGACATATTTGTTTTTAGTTATTTGTTTAATTCATATTTTTATGAAAAATTGTTTATATAATAGAAAAATATTTTAATAATGTCTTAAGTTGACAAATAATGTTTTACGGTATAAATGTTTCTGATTAATTTTTATCAAAAAAGTATCATTTTTCACTTGATCTACTGAAAATATGTCTTATAGCTTTCAGAATGACCTGATACCAAAACAAAATCAAATATAATAGCTGTATCGAACAAAGTTTTATTCATTCATTAAATATTATTCTTTGCCAAAATTATATGACACACAATATCCCTGGCACAATTTCTCTTAAAATATTTTAAGACAAAAACTGCACGAAACATGCAGTTGCAAAATTGTTGTAAATTTTGTTGCAAAAATTGGTATGGGAATATATGTATTAAAGATTTTTTAAAGTTTTTGTCGGTTTTTCAAATGCGACTTCTGTACACTATTTCGGTTTGCATTTGATTGGATTTAACATTAACTTGCAATATCAACAAAATTGGATATTACACAAAGTCGAATTGCATCAACAATGTAATCTTTTTATGTAAATAAGTATATGAATATATATTTAATCACATCTATCGCAATATTTGCAGAGTTGTCTAGAAGACGAAAATTTAATTTTCAGTTTTAGTGTTTTGCCACACCTTAATTTATTTGGGTATATTATTTTCGTATATTTTTGTTGTTCAATATTTTATTACAATTAATTAATTAATTTGAAAACTTCAAGCGATTTGTAGATATTGTTATAGATCAATAAGGATTTTAATATCAAGAAAATTTAAAAAATAATTTATGAAATTGATAAAACAATATGTTGAAATATTTTTACTACTTCTTATTTTATCTCAACTAATTTAACAATTAATTACTATTAACTTCCTTTAGGATGAGTCACAGCAATCGTCAAAAATCGAAAATGAATATTTGTATTTGTTTTTACGTTTCAAAGGTTTCTGAACATTTTGGCATACCTTAGTAAAAATAGATGTATGTGTGTAATACATACAAACTGTGTACGTATTCAAATGCAGATACAATTTTTGGTCGACGATTTCGAGAACACGGACCAACCGATTTGAATGATTAAAAAAACATTCGATTCCTATTGATAAGGAGACGTGCTGATTAGTTTTTAGCAGTCTAAGGCAGAACAATCCGTTTCAAAGATACGGGGCAAAAAGTGAAGAGAACGTCGTATTTCAATAATTCAAAAAAAATATTTTTTTTTACTTGTATTGACAAAATGAAGAAGTGATCAAATTTTTAGGAAGGCAGGTTTAGCGGTTTTATTCAATGATGTGGAAAAAGTAAAACAAAATGCCATTTCGTGCCATTGTCGTTCAAAAATGACAATTAGACGTACGCACATCAAATTATCAGATATTTTACAGAGATTTTAATAATAAGCTTATAAGCACGATGACATGCACCTTATATAGTTCAAATAAGGAAAGGAAAAAAATAGTGGTGCATGTGATTTAAAGAAAATTGCTGGAACTTTCCGTACCGAAAACTAATATTTTTAAAATATTGAAGTTTTTAAAAAATATTTACTTTTTTATACGTATTTTGAATTTTTTTGAGAAGTTTGAAATTTTTGTTTAGTTTAGGTAAGTTATAGTAATCGCAAAAAAAATGAAAATAAACGTTTCAAAGGTTTCATTTGACAAACCTTAGAAAAAATGGCTGTATGTGTGTGTGCGGATACAATTTTTTGTCGACGATTTTGAGAATACGGTTTGCGAACTACGCTACGGGAAGTTAAAAAAAAGTTTATATATTAAAAATAAGGAATTTCTGGATCTGATAAAATTTGCAAGTTGTATTTCTGGCAAAAACAAACTTTCAATCCATCCTGGTTAATAAAGTAAATTAGTACCCGGTTGGATTTCATTTATATCAGCTTATCAGAACACACAAACCTTTTCAAAAACTGTAATATTTCAATATTTCAATACACTTCTTATTAACGTTCTTCTGTAATATTTTATTAACAACAAAATAACTAATTTATATATATATATATATATATATATATATATATATCTAATATTTTTGTGAATTGTTGAATTTGATTTTACACTGAGTATTAGAGTTAGCAATTTCATATTTATTGCTTCGCGAAACTCACATTCCTTGAAGAAAAACATAAATATTTAGTTAATATGATTGTGTTATTTGTTTTACAGATTATATTTGCTTAAATGTATTCTCTAGCTATTTGATGAATGAAATATGAGCATTTCTTCTCGCACAGACTAATTAAGAAACATATTTCATATTCAAAATTCACTGGAAGAATTTTAACATTTTTAACGATGTTTTTTTCTTGATATTTTGATGTATTATTTCTTCAATATTATTTAAACTTAAAATAATTGGCTTAAAATATTATAAGTATTTATAGTATTTATAAAGAAACTATAATTAATTAATTTTTAAAAATAACTTATAATAACTGAAATTTTGTAATTAATTTATATCAACTGCAAATCCATATAAACAACATTAATTATTCACAACTGGTTTTATAAAGAAATTATTATTATTCTCACCTTCATTTTTGTATTAATTATAATATATTATAATTAGTATTATTAATTTTAGTGCATTTTATTTATGCAACATTGACAATTAAACTAAACTTCTAAATAAAAATAATCATTCAGTATGGGTGATCACTGTCGCCGCAAAACACAAACTGTGCGAACATCGTTGTAAAAACGATGCAAAAAGATGTCTCGTTTTATGTCGATTGTTTATCATTTTATCGAAGAGCTGGTTATTTTTTCATATTAATAATTTGTTCATTTCTGTGGTTCAGGGCTGTGCTATTTCAATATGATGTTCCAGGGTATATAATAGTTTTGGTCAGCCTGATATCAAGCAGTAGTGACGTCCGTTTTTATTTAGTAATATAGATTGATTGCAATATGTTTCAAAGTGAAAATAACCCATATCCTGCATCAGAAAACATTAGTATTAAAAAATTATAATAGTAAATACATCACATAGAGACGGGACAACCGTTCGGGTTGCCATATATAAAAAATCACTTAGTTTAAGTAGTCAGCTCAACAATTTCAAAGACTTGTTGAGTTTTGATTTTTGTTAAATATATATTTTCAGTATTTTATTACATTTATTTCAGCCTAACGGCCTAGAAATACAAATATTTACATGTCTATCTTCACTTAAACCTATTTTATCGTTACCTACTAACTTAAATCTACATTATATCTAACACCGAGTATAAACAAAACACAAACTTAGTGGGGCGCATGGCATCGTGCCTTAAGGCAAATTACTGGAACTTCCCATACCATAATTAAACATTCGAAGAATAAAAATAATCAGTCAACAAAAATGTCTATGAATAAATATTATAAAAACTAGACTTCTTATTGTTTGTTCTTTGTAGACAAAATATGAAAACTTATTAAATTAGACGACGTTGTTTATATATGTATGCGGACTTATTGTTAGAATGAACATATTTTATTTCAAATGCATCAATTTTTTGTTCGCGAAATATATGCACTGAGTTACCAATTTTAAATAGTTTATGTAGTATCAACTATACAAACCTAAAAAGTATTAAAAAAAATTTAAAAAAAAAAATTACAGACGTGGGAATCGAACCCGATCAGTCTTGACTATCTTATCTACTAACGCGAACGGTGACGCGCCAACCAACTGATCTATAACGACATGCTCAAGCACAACGCTATGAGGAATTTCTGCACTTTTTGCTCTGTTTGTTCGAAACGGCTGGATCTGCCTGTACCAAAAACTAATCAGTACGTCTCCTCATCGAATCGAATGTTTTTTTAATTATTCAAATTGGTTGATCGGTGTTCCCGAAATCGTCGACGAAAATTGTAATCACCCATCTACTCAAGTCAAGCAACGTCGCTATCAAGAGATAACCAAACGGCCATGTTTGAAAATGTATAACAAAAGTATTTTCTTTCGTTGTTAGTTTTTTTTAATGAGGACTCTTGTTTAGTTTACGAAACCTTAATATAATTTTTTTGTAACGTTTTTTATTTGTTTTATAAAATGTGCTGTCAATGTTAATTAGATTCAACAAATGTTACATGCAGATGAGGAAGAAAGGACCAACTGAAGCTTTATCCTGGCAAAGGCGTAAATAATAAATAATGATAAATAAGAAAGCAAAATAAGTTAAAAAAATAAGAGGTAAATTGAACAAAAAAGTTATTTTAACTCTGCTAATGAATATTCTGACTAAATGCCAGATCAGGGTTATATACAGCGTTTTTCGTAAAAAATGTGTCCATAAAATTTATATTTTGCGTTGTTGAATAATATAGTTTATTATTTCGCAAAGTTCCTTTTAAATTTAAATTTAAAATTAAGACATTGGATCCGTTTGCCTCTTGATTGGTTGTCCCTTTTTACTCAGGCTATGGGGTACAGATGACAAATTTTAGTAAAACTAATAAAAAATACATTTTTAACTTCCCGAAGGAGAAGTTTGTTTTCATAAAAAAATACGAATTGTTAATTTTATGTTTTCTCGACGTTTCAAGCCATTCTGAATCGAATGAGACCAAATTTGGAAAAAGTATGTGTGTGTGTGTGTGTGTGCGTGTATGTGAACAGATATTTGCCGTAAATCGACGTTTTCTCAAAAACGGCTGGACCGATTTCAAAAATTTAAAAGCCAAAGCTCGATGTATCTTGATGAGGACTATTGTTTGTCAATTTTGTGCGACGATCGGCCAAGCCGTTTCTTTATAAATCGCAGAAAAGTGAAAAATTTTTCGTCTACGTTTTAGCCCGCAATTCTGAATCGATTTTGAAAATTCAAAAACCGTTCGAAAGATATTGGTTGGGAATCGTGCTGATTAGTTTTTGGTAGAGATCGGCCGGGCCGTTTTCTTGTAATAAAGTTTAAAAAAAAAAATCGACGATTTTTATGATTATTTTTTTGACGGTAGATACAATAGTCTTCTAGATCATACTAAAATATTACGGCCCTACGACAACTGGTTTAGCTTTAAAAATTCGTCAAAGTTTGCAAAAATTAGTATGGTCTTTTTGACATTTGTCAAAATTAGAACTTTCATCGACGTTTGCTCAAAAACGCCTGAACTGATTTCAGATATTTAAAAAGCATTTGATGTATCTCGATAAGGATTATCGTTTCTCAGTTTTGTGCGACGATCGGCCGAGCCGTTTCTTTGTAATTTGGAAAAAAGTGTTAAACCTTTCCACATTTAAGCTCATACTACCGAACCGATTTTAAAAAATCAAAAACTGCTCGAAAGATATTAGTAGGGAATGATACTGATTAGTTTTAGGTGAAAATCTACCGAGCCGTTTTCTTTTGTAATTAACTGTTGAAAAAAAAATTAGGCCGATTTTTGTGGAACTTTTTTTTGGCGATATATATTATGGTCCTATAGAACTTACTAAATTATTACGGCCTTACGACAAGTAGTCTGATTTTAAAAATTCTTCAAAGTTTGAGTAAATGAGTAGTTTCTTTCACGTTTGTTAAAAATAAAATTAGATGATTTAGTTGGTATAACGATAGTGTACTTGGTTTTGAACATAGTAAACCATTAAAGTCCTTCGGAAACTGGTTCAATTATAATTATTGATTAATTAAAATTATTGATTTTTGAAAATTTGCTTTTAGAAAATACTCTGAGTTATTAACGTGTTCGTTCGTTCGTTTGCAATGGTGTGTAATAAATCCACTCGGAATACTTATAATCACTCATAAATTAATTTATTTTTTATTGATTAAGTCGATTATTTACACATATCGGGAAGTTTATGTAACTTGCCTCAAGGCTAAATACCAAACCAACTAGTTATGATTAGGAATTAACCGGGAATTTTACTGAACATTATCTGATTGTTTTTGATTTTGAGGGTACATTTTAGAATTGTGTTGCTTATATGATTGTTTAAATATTTTTTAATAAAATATTATAGTTTTTGATAATATTTGGTTACAAGAGCTCTTTCTAATATCTTATCTCCGGCTATAGGAAACGCTGTCCGATAGATTTTCATTGCTATAAATTTATCGTGATAATGTCATGTTTTTTCTTGAAAATCTTACTGTGTGAATTATGAATAATCATATTTAAGTGTTTTCGAGTGCACTAAATTGATTCAGGTCAGTACATAGATTATATTATATTAAATAAAATTATCCACTTGTAATCAGAGTGCATCACTTGAAAGCATGTTTTTGAACACGTATTTGTAATAGTTTTTATAACAAAATTATTTATTGTAAGTATCACTTACTAACAATTCATAACGTTATTCATACACATTGATTTCAGTAGATGAGAGTTTAATATTTACGTTGATTTCACAACTTTCGAAAATATTATTATATGGTTACTAAGATTATATATAAACTTCCCGTAGGATAAATTATAATAATTTACCCTACGGTCCTCTGAACATTTTGGCAAAAATTATGTATGTGTAACCTCCGCTTTGCCCTTGCCTCTGGTCCCCACGGAAACCGCCGTTAGGCATTACTTCGTGGGGGGAGGATCTAGAATGTTATAATTCTTAACTTGTTATGATCAATGTTATAATTCATAAATATTATACTCATCTTTTAAATGGGCGAAGTACAAATTATGTATGTGTGTGTGTGTGTGCGCGGATCCACTATTCTGCGTACGTTCCGTGTTTTGCAGGGAGCTAGTGATTACAGTTGACGTCCACACTTAAATAAAAACATTTTTAGAATCCGAAATATTTGAAATGAAAATTGGTATACAAACTAATTTAAACAATACAATTACAATATTATAAGTATATTGGAGAGACTTCATTTGCAAATCGTATTGACTAATTTTTAGTGAAAACGAAAATTTTATTTTCAAAATAAACAGTAAAACATTTTACCTATAAGGTTTATACCCAATTCTCTTCAAGTTGATTATGTATACGAATTGGAGAAGTTCATGCATCTTACCTTAAGGCAAAATGGTACTTACAACTAGTTTAAATAAATATTATACAAACATAATTTACAAAGGGTCTATAAAAGTATGTGGTAATTTTTGTATGGCTAAAATCATTTCATAGATTTCTGTTGAAATTTTTTACATGTATATCCTTTGACCAGTTCTTTATTGTTATTATATCAGAAAATTAAAATATAACGAATTTTCTCCTGAAGATTTCAATAATCTAATCTAATCTAATTCGTTTACTATTTGAAAAAGGAAGGTTCTTATGTTTACAATGTTGTAATATTTTTATTGCTCATGGTACCACTTAAATAATTTTTTTAGCTTTATCTGAATATGATATTTTGATGAAATTCTAGCTTTATCTTTATATGGTATCTTTTGTAAATTCTAAAAATTGTGGAAATATTCATTCCAGTTGATATGTCTTGTAGATCGAAATTCTAAAATAATCAAAGATATAATATCGCAGTAACTTTCTTAGCATTTTGTAGTCACCTTCGTATGGCCTTGAGTATTCTTTTACATAAATATTTAATTTATTTAAATAATAATATATTATTACTAAATTTTGAGAGATTAATTTACAAATATTTAATTATTTCAAAAAATGATTTAACACATAAATGCTTCATTGATTTGTTGTTTCCTAGGCTTCGTATTTGCATAGAAATACCTTAATTCAAGTATTTTTTAATTAATTTTACCAAAATTCGATAAGCTGGTTATAACATTTTGATATATATATATATATATATATATATATATATATATATATATATATATATTCTTTGTTTGATGTATCGCCCTCAAGAACTCACTCATATATTTCAACATCAAAATTAACTACTAAATCATATATATATATATATATATATATATATATATATATATATATATATCTATGATTAATTTCTTGGAGGGCGTAACATCAAGTAAAAAATATAAATAAGTAAAGATTTTTTAAAACATCTTTATTTTTCCATACGTTTCGACGTAAAATTCCACGTCATCGTCAGTGGTTCTACAATTTTGAAAAAAAACAGTAACGTTAAAAATTGGATATACATAAGCAAAAATAAAAAGATTTAACTAAAGAGACAGACTAATTATATATAAACCTTAAATTAAAATAATGCATAAAACATAACTTGCTTCAATTTGGATATAAATATTCAGTATTGAGTATGTTTTGCAATTAATTTCATTGAAATTCGAGATCTTGCTTTGAATATAAATATTCACTACTATGATTAATCTAATTATCAGCACACCAAATTAATATTTGATCATAATAATAGAGATTTGTGTGAAATTGCGGCTTCACAGGGTATTATAATTTCATTTTTCAATAATATTTTTTTTTAATTTTATGCTTTATCAGAAAGTTATATTTGCATTCTGACAAAAATACAATTTCCGAACAATTTATCTACAGTTATGATATCATTCTCATAAAATACTTTTTATCTAAAGCTGATAATATCTTGTATAAATTCTGAAAATTATCGAAGTGGAGATATATATTTACATTTATATACATATCACATTTTTAAATAATTTTTAATTATTTGAAAGCGATATGGCTTAAAAATATAAATTCAGTTCTGAATATTATCTTAAGTCGATATTTTTATGACTAATGCTATTTTTATAAGATTTTTGCTTTCGATTAGATATTTGAATTTGGGTTCTTTGTAAGAATCATTGATTGTTAATCAATTATCAGAATTAAAGTTCTGAAAGTACTTTTATGAATGAGAAAATTAAACAAATATTGACATTGTTTGAAAACATTACAAAAATTAGAAACATTTTTCTTGCAGTATTTTACTTTCTGTGTGGAACAAATTATAATTGGTTTTAAGTACCTAATTATATGTTTAATTGTGAAAACTTTATGAGCAGACAATAAATTCACAAATATAAATAATGATTTCAGATGAAAGAGTAATTTATAAATCACTACCCGATCACTCGTTGCTGTGTTATATATAACAATAAAAATCTAAACAAAAATTCGATTCTGTTACATCTAATTATCAATATGGGAAATGGCGCCCGAATCTTTCGTGATTGTTATTGTACAGCAGTATTAGATGCATCTTTGAGTGCAATATTCCATTCAGCATCCCAATATATAATATAGGCTTCTAAGCATATCAGCAGTAAATAAACTGTAAAATCTCAACAACATACATCACAGCACATGAAACATATAAAAAACCAACTATCGAAATATGTTCAGAAAATTTCCCAGTTATTGCCTAAATATAGAAATATATTTATTTGCTATTTTTTCTATTCCCGTTTACCCTATATGGGACAGACACACTCGATGTTTCATTTTTAATTATGAGAGGTTTTCTGAACTAAAAGCTGCTTTATCTACCCAATGTAAAATACAAATTTCATAAGCATCAGCAGTGTTGGAATGACTATTAATTTCATTTATCTCGTAGATGGTTGATGTGATAGTAATTTCATTAAATCTGTTGAATCTAAGATAAGAATCTCATAATAAAATTAAGTAACGTAAATAAATTGGATCTCTTTACCCGCGGACCTTCATGGTCATCTCTACCTTATATATGTATTTAATTTTTAATTCTGCGTTATCCATAAATATAACTAGTTGGTATTGGTATTTGCCTTGAGGCAAGTTACATGAACTTCCCGATATGTATAAATAATCGACTTAATCAAAAAAAAAGAAATTAATTTATGCGTTATTAAAAGTGGAGAGAGGAGAGTGGATTTATTACACATAATTAACAAACGTCAAAAAAACTACTCATTTTCTTAAACTTTGATGAATTTTTAAAATTAAACTGCTTGTCGTAAGGCATTTATATTTCAGTAAGTTCTATAAGAAGATGATATATATCGCCAAAAAAAGTTCAGTTCATTATAAAAATCAGCTTAAATTTTTGTTTCAACAGTTAATTACAAGGAAACGGCTCGATAGATTTCACTAAAACTAATCAGTATCATTCCAAACTAATATCTTTCAAAACAGTTTTTGATTTTTTCAAATCGATATGAGCTTAAATTTGGACGAAAAGTTTAACATTTTTTCCAAATTACAAAGAAACGACTCGGCAGATCGTCGCACAAAACTGACAAACGATAACCCTCATCGAGATACATCAAATGGTTTTTAAATTTCTGAAATCGGTTTAGGTGTTTTTGAGCAAACGTCGATGAAAGGTCTAATTTTGATAAACGTCAAAAAAAAGATACTATTTTTTGCAAACTTTGACGAATTTTTAAAATTAAACGACTTTTTGTAGGGCCGTATTATTTTGGTATGATCTAGAAGGCCATGATATCTATCACCAAAAAAAAAAATTAATGAAAATCGTCGAAAATTTTTTTTAACACTTTATTACAAGAAAACGGCTCGGCCGATCTTTACCAAAAACTAATCAGATCCCAACCAATATCTTTCGTATGATTTTTGAATTTTCAAAATCGATTCAGAATTGCGGGCTAAAACGTGGACGAAAAATTTTTCACTTATCTGCTATTTACCAAGAAACGGCTAGGTCAATCGTCGCACGAAATTGATAAACGCTAGTCCTCATCGATAGACATCGGATGGCTTTTAAATTTTTAAAATCGGTGCAGCCGTTTTTGAGAAAACGTCGATTTACGCCAAAAAAATTGTTCACGCACACGCACACACACACATACTTTTTCCAAATTTGGTCTCATTCGATTCAGAATAACTTGAAACGCCGAGAAAACATAAAATTAGCGATTCGGATTTTTTGATGAAAACATAAACTTCTCCTTCGGGAAGTTAAAAAATATATAAAGAAAATATCTTCAAAAAAATAAAAGAATTGTTAGAGGTGATCCATCTGTAATAAAAATAAAATAAAACCTGTAATTAAAATTTAAGCTTTTGCATTAATCTTGAAAAATCTCAATCGAAATCTATTCAAAAAGATGTCCCGTGCATTGACCCAAAGATAAGGGTTAAGTGTTGAAAAACCGCTCAGGGGTAGTCCCAGGGGTTGAACCAGGGGTATGGGTGAATCGGCATTCCAAAGTTAGTGGGGTCGGTCATACATTTGGACGCGATTGGAGCACTCTGAATAGGTCAAAATGGAATTTTTCGAATTTCAACCCTTATTTTTGGGTCAATGCACGGGACATAAGAATTCATTTTAGAGGTATAGTTTCTTCAGCAAAGTATCTTATTTTGATCCCAAGTATCCGAAAATCATGTATATATATATATATATATATATATATATATATAGAATATATATAGAAATATATATATATATATATATATATATATATATATATATATAAGATATGAATGTTATCGGTTAATAGTTGAATATATTGAATATAACCTATGATTTGGTATATATATATTATATATATTTCTTACAAAAATAGATATTGATTACACTCTAAAAGTTTTCTTTAAAAATTGGCAAAAATACGATTAGAAGTAAAACATTACTTCATAATTTGCGAGAATTGTGTTATGTCTTAGTGTCTATTTTTGAATTTATGGTAAATTTTGCCATATAATCTTTTATTCCATAAGATTATCAAACAAACAAACAATTAACGTTTGCTTATTTATTTATTGTTACTAGGTGTTATATTATTAAGCAGTTGTAACAGATATTGTAATTTAAAAAAATAACGTTTGTATTTCTATTTTCAGGTTAGCAAACAAAATATCATCCCTATAATGTAAAGAAAACGTTTTCTTCCGACACCATCATGGATCTTCCCAAGAACCGAAGAAACCTTACAGAGCAAATTCCAGTTGAAATCATGTTATATTAAGTATAAAGTTAAATAGTACAATAGTTAATGCATCGTTAGTCAATTCTCAATGTGATAAGGAACTTATATCCTAATAGATTATAAATTTTTAAAAACGCTTAATTATTAGAATAATATGGAAAACTAAAGATTTTAAGAAGTAATTCAATGTTATTGATGTTGACTAGTACAAAGTTTAAGAATTCAAATTCGCATTTGCATTGCATTGAATTCAATATTCGTTTATTGAATTATTTAAGCCTTTTCATGCCAGATGAAGAAGAATCACCCTCTAAACGTATTTAGATTTTAGGAACGATTTGTTTTAAAACTAAGTTACCAAAAGTATTTGTTATTATATGAAAAGCAAAGACTGATAAATAGTTGTGAAACCAAAATGTACACTTTAAGACGCAAAATTTTGTGGTTCGCCCTATCAAGTCGTCTCTTCCTGATTTTTCTCCAAGCAGTCGCCAATAATTTGATACCGGATCACAAGGCTGATGCATTCACAAGTCCAATTCTGGATACTAATACTACTTCTTATGGAGACATGTTAATCCAAAAGACTTTGGGTGGTTTTAATAGATGGGATGCCCAGTATTTTATGCACATATCCCAATATGGATACACTTATGAAAATACATTGGCATTTTTTCCATTGTATCCATTGGTAGTCAGAGTTGCTGCAGAAGTTGCAAAGGTGTTCCTAGGAAACTTTTTGGCTTATCATAGTACGCTTTTGTTATCAGCGGTTTTGCTGAATGTATATTTTTTTACAAAAGCTGCCCTCACATTACATCAATTAACATTAGTTGTACTAGGGGATGAAAAACTGGCATACATATCTTCAATATTATTCTGCGTAAATCCTGCCAGCATTTTTTTTTCTGCGCCATATTCAGAAAGTGTGTACGCTTGGTTGAGTTTTGCTGGAATGCTGCGATGTCTGGATAAAACCGATATAAGATTCGGCAACATTGCTATAACAACTGCTGTACCATTTGGATTATCCTGCGTTGCTAGATCTAACGGTCTTCTAAATATCGGATTCATATTGTATCATTGGACACGAAATGGCGTCCAAAAAATGTGGCCAGAAGTTGTAAATAGATACAGAACTTTAAAAACTAAATGGGTTACACCTTTATTAGTTCTTCCGTTTGTGGCAGCTTCTATACAGATAATTATCACTTTGCTGGTTACTTTAGCGGTTTATGTCTTAGTGCAGATTTATAACTACAGACAATTTTGTACCAGAACAACATTGGTATTACCAGAATTTTTGGTTCAATATGCGGAATCAAATAAGTTTGTTATGCCAGGCTATGGAATGCCCCCTTGGTGTGATGAAGAATATCCAATCGCTTATTCATATGTACAATCACATTATTGGAATGTTGGATTTATGCGTTATTATAAATGGAAACAAATACCTAATTTTTTGTTAGCATTTCCATTAATATCTATAATATTATGGAACACATGGAAATTCATCAAGCAGCATTCAGGATTTTGTCTACGCCTTGGAATTTTTCCAAACAAATATCAGGATATAACTAAAAAGCGCCCAATTGTAAAACCATTGTATTCTACAGAGATGTTTGTGTATTATGTACATGCAACAGCTTTGGTTATTTTCTGTTTACTATTTGTTCATATCCAAGTTACAACCAGACTGGTATGCTCTGCGAGTCCAGTTCTGTACTGGTCTTGTGCTTATATGTTCAATTCGAAGTTAACAGATAAAAATCCAACAAGTATTAGAACTACAGTCATTGGACAGAACCAAAGGACCATGAGTTTTGATTTTGAGAACCTCGATAATATGTACAGCAAATGGAAGACTTTTTTGATAACAGAAAGTTTATCGGGACGAGAATCCTTGATCAGATGGTATTTTTTGAGTTATTTTGTCATCGGAACTATCTTGTTCTCTAATTTTTATCCTTGGACTTAATAGGTCGGAGAAAAACTCATATTTGCATATTGTTGAAATATGTAGATGAAACGTTCTTTTACAAACCGTACATAACTTTTTTGCAAATAAATTATAAGCTATTATGACTTTATAAAAACAGAAGAAACAAATAATTGTAAAACATTGGACCAAAGAATTTTTGTTGTAAATTTGTAGTACAAAAATTAGTCAAATTATATAAATAATATAAGACCTTAGTTAAATTGATATGTGCGATAAAAAGCTAAATCCATTGATAGTTGTTTATTGTTCACTAATTATTTAGGCAGAAAAGATTACTATGTAAAATTCGATATAGTATCATAAACTGGAAGTGGTAAATGGATATTATTATTAAAAATTAATTTAAATTTGCTAATTGTTTCTTAGGAAAAATGGTTAACAGTTGTTTTTTGTTCAAACTTGTTCACTTGTTCAAAATTCATTTATTTAACCTCGAGATAATTATAGGTTCAACTTTCTAGTTCAAATCGAACGGAGTGTTTTTATCAAATGAATCTATAAATTCTTATTCTCAAATTTTCGATAATTTCTGTTTTTCATAAAAATGAAGTAAGGGCATGTTTTTTTTTAATATTGAATTTGAAAACATATTCAAGAGAAAATGGTTTTAGTCTACTTCTGTACGGTGTGTAAAAGGGCCAATCATATTGTAATATTCTTATTAATATTATCTTCAAAATGATATTTTATAAATTCAAATATATTATCATCTAACTGATACAACTCGATATAATTTAGTTCTCACTCGATTTTGAACTAAATAAATAAAATTAATTTTAATTACTTAATAATAATAATATATTTTATTGACTTCGATCGTAAATAAACGTAGAAATCTATCTAGATACAAATATTTTTGACAACCTGAAAGTATTTTAAGATAACTCTAGTCTTCTTGTATAACTTGTTACCTATCTATTGAACTAGTAACTGGCATAAATATTATTTATTTATTAATAACTGATGTTTAATCGATTTGTCAAAAGATTTGATTATGGGCCTGTTCTCGGTAAGTTTTACTAATGGTTTTAATATCAATACTGAGCAGTAGCTGTTTTTTTTTAACAATCAGTTATTATATGTAAAAAACTTAATATATTTTGTTAACACTAAATAGAAACTTTGGTTATTCATCAGTGATGATGGGGGAAAATTGTACCCTGATGAAAAATCTATGTATTTATTTCATAGGCCTAGAAGGTTCTCATGATGTTAGTTTTTTCCGACACGCTTCTAGTAATAAATAGTGCAATAATTAATTTTAATGTTAAAATAGTTTTAAGACGTCTAGTCAAAGAGGAGAGAGTTAATAAGGTTTTTGAAGATGATAAAGAGTTTGTGTAACCACAATATTACTGGTCTAAGATTTTAAGTAGCTTTTTAATAGAGGCATTAAAAAATAAGCATAGGAATTTACTGAGAATTTGTATATATTTTTTTTTTTAATTACAATTTTGACAACGCCGGTCAATGATTTTTATTATAAAGATAGCTATTATTTTATTGCTGTGAATTTGTCAACTACAGTTATCAAAGTTTTTCTGGTCTTCTAGTTTTTTACAAATATTTAAAAAAAATATTAAATTGCATCTTTTCTCACGAAACACTTATTTTATATTGTTGTTTGGTTTATTGTGTTAAGATTTAAAAGCTACACTACATCTGACAAATATAAAGAGAACTGTAAAGAATATTTCTATAAATTAATTGAAAATTGTAAAAGTCTATTTGATATTAAAATTTCAAAATATTTTAGGAAAAAAGTTCTTATCATTAAAGCCTTACTCACAAGTTGATTTAGATTTGTAATATATTACGTGTAAACCTTATATATATATTAGGTGTACAACTTTGCATCCGCCGTATTTTTTCAAAATTAAAAGCTTTATTGCGAAAAAGTGCTTACAGATGTATTATTCAAAGTATTGTCCGTCGCTAGCGACAACTTTCTCCTATCTTTCCGGCAATTTTCGAATCCCGGCTCGAAAAAAGAAGTCCTCTTTTGGCGCTATCCATGAAGCAATCCATTTTTCCTATTCTTCGAAAGATTGAAGATGTTGATCTGCCAGGCCGTGTGCCATCGAATGGAATAGGTGGAAGTCAGAAGGGGCGACATCTGGGGAATACAGCGGGTGGGGCAAGACTTCCCATTTCAGCGTTTCCAGGTACTTTTTGATCACTTTTGCGACGTGAGGCCGAGCATGGTCGTGTTGGAGGATGACTTTGTCATGTCGCTCTTGATACCGTGGCCGCTTTTCTTTTAGCTCGCGACTAAGGCGCATCAGTTGCGTTCGATAGCGATCTCCTGTGATGGTTTCACCCGGTTTTAAGAGCTAATTGTTCATCTTTGCAGGTTTTTTCTCTTCCACCACCATGTTTGTCTTCGGCATCGAAATCACCATTTTTAAAACGTTGAAACCAATCCCGACACGTTCTTTCACTCAGAGCAGCATCACAGTAGGTTTCTGAGAGTATTCAATGCGCTTAGCTGCATTTTTTTTTCGAATTGTAACAGAAAAGTAAAACTTCCCGCAAACGGCGAGAATTGGGGCAAAAACGGACATTTTCGAGCGTGAATAATACGAAAACAAGAACAACTATCACTGAAACGGAGATGACAATTCGTTAGGCATTGTCCACACTCACTTTAAAGGCATTATCATCTATGTAGTTCAACCAGCCTCAGCCGGTACAGCCACATATCGGAAACGGCGGAAGCAAAGTTGTACACCTATATATATATATATATATATATATATATATATAATTTTTATTATCTTCCCACATTTTTTTTATCAACCTTGTTAGCTCTCACTCCTACAAATTTTCTGTTTTCCACTTTTTATAGTATATAAGCATTCCAGTTTAGTAGTATTGAAAAAGACATATCGTAAAAAGCTTTCTTTGTAAATGGCTAAATTTTAATTAGTAAATATTATGTAATGCCTTTCGATTTAAGAAATCTTCCAAAACGTGTTGTAAATTCAGGTAAATACAAAGCGACCAGTTTTTATTTGAGCGTTGATATTCACTTGAAATTTTTCAGAGGCAGAAAAATATTTTAAATCTTTTTTTATTACTATTGCTGTGGAAAGGTTTAGAAAACTAGTGCTGTAAATCTCATATTTTTCGTAAGAAAATCTTTTTTGCTGATTTCATATCTCTCGGCGTTTCAACTCAGTCTGAAACTTTTGAGACTATCTTTCTTTTAAATTATTTTTGAACAGCAATCAGAACCCAATAGTCCTATAAGCTGTTGTGCTGATTTGACTTAATACTAGTCTGTTTGATAGATGGCAACCCAATCAATTGTCACATCTCTATATGATATATTATTATTACAATTTTTGTAATAGTGCAGCAATGCCGGGTGAAGGCTATTTTCACTTGGAAACATATTACTATCTATATTTCCAAGTGAAAATCGTTGTCACTGCTGCCTGACAAGAGGCTGCCCGAAGTTAGTATTGAACCTGAAACCTCTGATTCAGGTTGAGACCAAATATGTAAAATGTATGTGTATGTTAGCCGATTTTTATGTTAAGTTTTATTAGAAGTTGCTCAATTTAACTCAAGAAGGACTCGGGGATAGTTTTGCGAGACGATCGAAAATTTTTTGCTAGTTACTGATAATACACAAATTTTTAATTTTATATATAGATTTTATTCATGTTATAATATACTAGAAAAAAACTGCGTAACAGCTCAATAAATATAAATATTTAAAAGTTTTTGGTGACAATAATAATAATAAGTATGTATCTAAATTATAATTATAAAAAATATCTTTATTCATAAAAAAAACTTTGAATAATTCTGCTCAGATTCCTTACGTGTTAAGTTTGCTTTCATTGTTTCATATTTTTGTCTAGATTTATTTGAATATCGTAAGTAGTATTTTACGGTTTTTTTACTTTTCAAAATATATATTACTTTTTAAAAATTGTATTTCTACGTCACGCTTTCGTCACAGTTGCTTGTTTTTGGCGCGCACCACCAATTTTCTTCACAGTTAAAAATTTATTCGCTTTACCTTAATCCTCATTTTTTGACGCTGAGAATAAAATTTCTGCTTTGATATATGTTTTGCGTCACAGATCTTAAAAATGACGTCTTTGTTCACAAATTCTGTACTTTTGATAGTTTCTGGTGAATTGGTTCTGGTTATGGATGATCAACCATCCAACACTAAACTATTATTTCGCATCGTTTATCTTTTATCTCAGAATCTGTTTTCTGCGCAAATATTTAATTATTTTCATTCGATTTTTTGAATAGTTTCAGTTTATTATTTTTATTCTCTATTCTTGGAACAAGGAGGATATGAAACCGTTGCACATCCCGAATAAGTACCGTCTATAGTGACGGAGCAGACGGAAATCTCGAGGCCGTCTGTGGCGCATACGTCGTGCAGCATAGCAACGTTCCTCCTGGCACTGCGCACTCTGCTCACAGACTTTCCGTTGACCACAACCTGAAAAACGTACCTTGGCATTAAGATATATCTTCTACAGGAAAAAAAGTTGAATGATACTCTTATTGAACTGGATTAAAATTAAAATGGAAACCACTAGTAATTGCTGGAACTTTCCGAACCGTAATTTAAAATTTATTAAAGCTTATAATTTGAAATTTTGTTTATATATATTTAACTTCCCGTAGGCAAGTTATAGTAATCGCAAAAAATCGAAAATGAAAATTTTTATATATCTTTACGTTTCAGAGGTTTCTGAATATTTTGGCATACCTTAGAAAAAATGGATGTATGGATGTATGTGTATGTGTGTTTATGTGTGTCGGATACAATTTTTCGTCGACGATTTCGAGAACACGAGTCAACGGATTTGAATAATTAAAAGCATTCGATTCGTATTGGTAAGGAGACGTGCTGATTAGTTTTTGGTAAAGGCAGGTCGAGCAGTTTCGAAGAAACGGGACAAAAAAGACCACATATAGTAATTGATTTTTTAGGAAAACGGAGCGTCCGATTTGCATGATTCGATAAACATTTTACTTGTATTAACAAAATGCAGAACTGATGAAATTTCTGGAAAGACAAGTCTAGCGCTTTCTGACATCCAACAAAAAAGTGAAAAAATGCCATTTGGCGGACAAAAATGATCATTAGACATATGCACATTGAATTATCACATATTTTATTTATTTATTTATTTATTTAAATATATAGCCCACAGATTTCTCCAAGAGGACTCAAAAATACAATTATT